GCTTCAGACATACTTTTTGCAGTTTCGTGAGATATTCGTGGTATTATTTAGCTGTTTAACATTTTTTATTACTTAGTTATTAGCACACATAGTCTGGGCAGGACTTCTCACTTGTTAGCTAACAGCTCTATATTTCTATACTACTGAGCTAGTACTAGGTAAGATGGGTGGTTGNCGTGGTATTATTTAGCTGTTTAACATTCTTTATTACTTAGTTATTAGCACACATAGTTTGGGCACGACTTCTCACTTGTTAGCTAACAACTATATGTTTCTATACTACTGAGCTAGTACCGGGTAAGATGGGTGGTTAATGCACCACAAGAGGCGGGTCTAACATGCAACCAACACTCCGAAGATGAGTAAAGTATATGGGTGAGCGGACCCAATGCACCATAGCAGTTATCAATAGCTTTACAGATTTCAGCAGTAATTAGACTTTAGGTGTGTACCTGGGTTTATGATATCTATTCAATTTCATACTTGTATATTGCTTGTACCTGTTATTCTTTATATTACTTTTATGCATTACCAATGATTTCTAAAGACATGTCCTATGGGTAAGATGAGAGGGCGAGTGTGTGATCTTGCTGAGCCTTTTAAACTCACAATTATACGAAGGTCTTCTAGAAGTGATCGAGTTGTTGAACAATTGTCATGACTTAAAATTCTATCAAGGTCGTGATGACACATGTTTACCCGTAAAACGGTACATTTGAATTTGTAACGTGGTTTATAGACAAGCGAATCGATTTGATCTCAAAATGATAAATAAATTAAATAAAATACAAGACTTGCGTTGAATTCGAGATAAAGGGGAAATCCAGGAAAGAGTTCTTTTGGTTTTGTGTTGAGAGATGAATATGGTGATGTCCTGCATGCAAAGGAAAGGAGATCCGTGAGGGTACTAATACTGAATCTGAAGCTGTGGCTATTTTAGAAGCACTGAAGTACTGTGTGCACCATGGTTACACACACATTATACTGCAAACTGATTCCATACTGTTGAAGAATGTGGTGGAGGGAATTTGGACTGTGCCATGGATAATTACAACACATGTAGAGGAGATCAAAGATATTATTGGGAGATACAACATAAGGATATTGCATATTATGAGAGGGAAATAAACTGGCTGACTATTTAGCTAATTACGTACTAGATATAGGTAATTTTGAGGCTGACTGTTTCTCACAATTGGAGGTACAAGGACGAAGATTGGTGAATGATGATAAATTACAATGTCCTTATTTGAGAGTGAATGTTACAAAGAAATAGGAGGAATGGATGATAGGCGTACAAGGAGAAGAAGAAGCAGTCATGATCATCATCCTCGAATCTATACAGAGGAGAGGATAATGATTCTGTTTTACACTAACTCTTTTTATTTTTTTGCAGGAAAAATTACAGTTTCCATGCCTTATCTTTTGAATAACCTTCAACTGGTGGTATTAGTACTAGATACTCATTCCATTTGAGGGAACCAAGGATAGGCAAAAACATACAAGCAAGGATGATTACCAAGAGGCTAGGAGCTGAATTACTTACTGTTACCTTCAACTTTCGAAGGTTAGATTTTACATTTAACTACCCTAGTATTCAATCCAACAAGCTGCAGTTCAGCTCCATTGATGTGAAGATAAAACTGACACTACAAAGAGAAGCACTGCCCAGATTTTCTCTATAAGGAATCAATGAAGATCACGCGCAATTTTGTTCAAAAAGGCTGTCATCATCCATTTTTGTTCAGTGGAATCGATGTATGTTGCGTGTAGTTTTGCAGTATTTCTTGAATATGCGGGTATTCACCAAGACAAAGCACACATTATGGATGTCTTTAGCTCCTCGGCTGATGGCTGGATTCAAACCAGTAATCAAGGAATTCAACAGTGTAAGCAACACCATAAAGATGGCACTAGAGAAGTGGAAATAAAATATTTCCATTGTAGCATATTGGCAAGTTACATGAAAGCGCAGAACTATGATAATCTAATCATATCTGGATTGAAGAGGAAATTGCGGGCAATGGAATACATGCATTGTTATATCAGTGGCCATGACACATGCATAGCTGGGATTAATCTCGATACGATCTTATTATGGCTAGTTTTTATTAATAGCTTGTGCATAGTTCAATATGTAATATCATGGTTAAGATCACTACTCAACTATGGTAATAGGAGCTATGTAGTCTCAATATTTATGTTCCTATACCACGTNATATATATATATATAACTATCCCTACACACCTTGCCTAGTTGATTTTTAAAAAATCGAGATAATGCAGTAGATAACTTTGGGGATGTGGGGCCTATTAATCAACATGTGACAAGTGGGGGAGGAGGTGGTAGTGAATAAATAAAATAAGGGCAGCAGGGAATGTGACCCTATTTTTAATCCCCAACCACCAATAATTACTGCAACACCAACTATAGATCTAGATCTAGGAGAAGATGTTTTCAATGTTGTCAATGATGATATACAAGGAGAAGATGCTGTCAATGGTGAAGTAGAAAATTCCAATACTTCATCTAAATCTGAATTTGAACTTTTCGATGACTATGGAAGTGATATACATGAAGAACTTAGGATTGTGAAATAAGATCTGAAGGCTTACAATAAAAAGGGGGAAAATTAAAAGAAAGAAAAATCAGATGGGTTTATAGGTGAGGCTATTCTTGACGAAGGTTATGAAGATATTGATAAAGTTAAAAAAATTAAAAGATAAATTGAGAGGTGATGATGATGAGCCATATTATGACTCATTAGATGCAGATAGTTTTGCTAGTGAATCTGATGGTGAAGCTGTCAATGATGTTGAAGTAGGAGGAGGGAACTTGAGGGAAAGGAGAAAAAGCAATAGAGTAATATATAATCCAGATTGTGAGACGGTTATTTGGCAAATTGGTCAAGTATTTGAAAATGTGAGTAAGTTTAGAGAGGCTTTAACCGAGTATGCTGTAAAGAAAGGGGTTCAGTTGGACAAATACAAGAATGAACCAAGTAGAGTTAGGGTGAAGTGCAAGCCTGGTTGTCCTTGGATGATATTTGCTAGCAAGGAAGGTAGAAGCTCAAATTTTACAGCAAGACATATAATCCAGGGCATAAATGCCATAAGACCAATATTAATTTTCTTTGCAATTCCAAATATATGGCCAAGCATTATAAGGAGGGGATCATTTTACAACCTACCATTAACGGGTGGGAAATACAAGATCTTATGATGGAAGATTTTAATGTGTATGTGGGCAAGGCTATTTGTTTAAAGACAAAAAAAATTATGTTGAAAGAGGTTATGGGAGATCATGTTGCTGAGTTTGGCAGGTTATTTGACTACAGGGATGTGCTGCTACAGACAAATCCCGGCAGCACATGTGTTGTTAAGGTTACTGAACAAGAATATGGAAAAAAGAGTTTGTAAGCTTCTATATATGCTTTGCTGCTATGAAGAAGGGGTTCACGGAGGGTTGTAGGAAGTGTATAGGGCTGGATGGTTATTTTCTAAAAGGAATATCGAAAGGCTAGTTAATGGTAGCAATTGCTAAAGATGAAAACAATCAAATATTTTCAATTGCATGGGTTATTGTTGGGACTGAGAAAAAGGATACACAGAGATGGTTTATGAGGATCTTACAAGATGACCTACAACTTGGAGATGGAACTCAGGTCACTATAATCAGTGACATGCAAAAGGTATGGCACTTTCTATTTCAGTATGATTCTGTTGATTTTTTTGAGAATCTTTTTTCTGCAGCTATTGATTATATCTGTTTTTTTTTTGCAAGGCTTGGTTAGTGTCGCTGAAGAAGTATTCCCAGCTTGTGAGCACAGAATATGTGCAAGACATATTCTATCAAATTGGTCAAAGAAGTGGAGGGGTATTGAGAGAAGAAAGAAGTTTTAGAGTTGTGTTAGAGCAACATTTGAGGCCGAGCTTAAAACCAAGCTAGATGAGTTAAATACATTAGGTCACAATATTGTTGAAGATCTTATTTCATATAATAAAGAAAGATGGTGCAAATTCTACTTCCAAGAATTCTCCAAATGTGACAGTGTGGACAATAATATGTCGGGAAGTTTCAATGCTTGGATATTGGGAGCTAGACACAAGACAATTGTGTCAATGCTAGAAGAAATTAAAGTCAAGGTCATGATTAGAGTACCTAAGATGAGGGCATTTGCTGAAACTTGGGTAGACATGATATCTCCAATGGCAATGAAGGTATTCAACACTAATGTGGAGAAGTCAATGAAGTGTAAGATTCACCTGTATTGGAATGGAGACAATGGATTTGAAATTAAGGAAGGTAAAATTAATTTTATTATTTACATGTAGAGAGGATATTGTAGCTGCAGGTCATGGCAACTGAAAGGCATTCCATGTGCACATGCCATAACAACAATGCACAACAGGAGGATTGATGCATCTGAGTCAATTGCAACATGGTACAAAAAGGAGACCTATCTGCAGGCTTATTCAAACTTTATACAACCTGTCCCAGTATAATAATGTGGCTAGTTACCTCAAATCCAAAGATTGGGCCACCTGCAGTTCAAAAAATGCCTGGTAGGCCAAAGAGAAATAGAAGAAAAGAGGAAGGATAACTTAAAAAGGCTGGTAAGTTATCCAAAATGGGAATAGAAATGACATGCTCTATTTTCAAGTCTAGTGCACATAATAAAAGAAGTTGTCCCTCCAGGCCAACATCCCCAACAATAACATCAGAGGTAAAACTTATCTATATTACTTTACATTGAATTGTTGGATAGATTTTTTACTTAACTTATTACCTTTTAGTGTAATGTTTCCCAACAATCATCAACCGGAAGTACACGGAAGAGAAGTGTTATTGATACTCAAGAGGGATCTACAAACAGGGAAGGTATTAAGGGAAGTAGAACTAAGTATAAGAGGCCGAAGGTTAAAGGACAAGGTGTATTTGTGTCTAAGACTGGTTATAGTTGTGTTAATGTAAGTGTTTCTACTTCTTACTCTAACTTTATTATTGCTACTATCTTTAGTTATGCTTTAGCAGTCATAAAATATCTCTTTTAATTGTAGCAAGATATGTCTAGCAACAGGGTAATTTTCACAACTGCAGTGATAAATTCTGCAGAAGTTACAGGTGATATTGGATATAAGTCCAGCAAGTCTTTGGAGTGGAAAGGAAAGCAAGCTATTACTCAAAGAGAACTCCAAATACAAAGTGCTATATACGGAGTCTAAACAAGATCAAAGGCTGTTGAAATTCAAACAAGATCACAAACGGAAACTTCTCCTTCGAAGATAACAACATAAATTTCTAAGATTAACTTAGCTAAGCTAATTTTTGTGTTAGTGTTGGTAGTATTCTATAGAAGCTTTGGTGGTGTTGCTAGTAGTATTTTGTAAGCACTTTGTGTTAGTGCTGGTAGTGATTTACAATCATTTTGTGTTGGTGTTTGTAGTATCTTATAAGCACTTGTGATGCTGTCCAATTATTTTTTGTTAAATGACTCTTGCAATGTCTAAACTTCCAGTAAGGGTATAATTATTGCTTGGATGTTAGTTGCTCATCCCTCTGTCTTTCTCAAGTGTAACTGTATGGATTTATGTTTTCAGTTGAAGACCAAAGCAAACAAGAAGAAAGTGGTCATGTTAAAGTAGTTGTTGAAGTTGAGACAGTGTGGTCTTTTGTGTATAGTTTGTCCTTATCTTTTGTTTTAATCCCACCCAAGTGCTACGTACTATGTTCTCTTGATTTTCAGTTTTTTATTCTACCAATTTCACCGAATAAGATTGCTACACAATTTTTTGAAAACGTAGGTCTATAGTCTAATATTGAAACAATGTGTTTCTTGCAATTTAAAGATAAAAAATGAAAGTATTAAATTGGACCCCAACCAAAATACAACATCAAGTTACATAGCACACTGATACATAGACAAATCTTCAAAGTTTTTCTCCACTTCAACTCTTGCTCTTGTTTATTTCTCTTATTCAACAAACCCAAAATAACAACATTTGCTTGTTCTGGAAATTCTGGGTCATACCATTCGAAAAATTTACAAGCTACTCGACCTTTAACCTGTGACAATGGACGAAAATTAGAGACAAGAAAAAAAATATATAATAAACCCAATAAAAATATATTAAAATTGAACCTTCTAAATAGCATTAATCTCACTATATTCATACTTTATAGTTTCTGCATCCAAGAAATCTCCTGCCGCGATTAACATTTGACCAAGAAAATTTTATACATGCTGGAGACCTACATCTACAAAGTGTATTCATCTTTAATGTGGGGTATGGTGGAGAAAAATAGGACAGAAATCTGAAAATGGGACTAAGTAATTTAACCAATAAAGAAGAAAATCAAGAATTATAGGGAATTATATGAACTTGAGTTTGGCTTCAATAGAGGATGTTATAAATAGGAAAAAGAGGGATGGTAGCCGTTGGGATGTTATTCGGGGGCCTGTTTTTGCTGTTTGAGAGCTCTCTCACGCACCATAATGCACTTAATACCACTTGCTATGCCATGTAGCTAGGGGTGTTCATAATAACCCGAAAAATCGAACCAAACTGAAAACCGACCAAACCGACCAAAAAACCGATACTTTTTAGGTTTGGTTTGGTTTTGGTTTTGAATTTTAAAAACCGATCAAATTTGGTTTAGTTTTGGTTTTAATAAAAAAAAAATAACCAAAAAAAACCAAACCAAACCGACTATAGAAGTAGCAATTTATAATTATTATTACACCTATATATATGTATATTTTTATATAAAGTTTCTAAAATGTTATGGTACATATTAGTCGTTTTGTATTTTAAGTCTAGTTTTTTGCTATTACAATAATCTAATTCTTTTCCTTTACATTCTAGTTTGATTGGTAGTTTGATTTTGCTAAGTACAAGAATTATTTCATGTTAAAAATAATTAATTTTTAATTGAGTACTTAAACTATTCATCACTATTTGATTCAATTATCATCAATATATCATGGTAAATGATAGATTTCTCAAAGAGCAATTGGTTTGATAGTGTTACGTTGAAAATGTAGTCGCCGAAATATGTGTTTGATAGTGTATGTCTCATATTTAAGAAAAAATCCGACAAATAACCGAAAAAACTGAAAAATCGATAAAAACTGACAAAAATCGAATCGCTAAAAAACCGACTTAATTGGTTTGGTTCCAACATTTTAAGAACCGACTTAATTAGTTTAATTTCTGGAAAAATCGATCCAAACCGAACAATGAATATCCGTGCAGGCAGCAGATTGGGGGTTTCTGAATTCATATAGTTAAGTGTAGTGGGTAATTAGGACGGGGCATTGTTGGGGAAGGACACTAATAATGTGAGGAAGTTTAGGGGTGGTTTAAGGTATTTTGGTACTTTCTAAATAACTTGTGAAGAACCCAATTCCCGCTCAAAGGAAATACCGACACTCCTGAGAGACGAATGGTCTCTCGGCCGCCGCAGCCCTACGGTGAAATAATCGGATGGACGACGTCGATCGTTTATTTGAATGCTTCAAATGCGGCATCTCTCCCCCTCGTAATCCCTCTTCTATTCCCTTTTATTCTAGTACCAATTACACTTCAACTATTCCAAACTTTTCTTTTCTCTTAGGAGAGTATATTGTTTCCTTCTCCAGAGGTCTAAACCGCTATTTTTATGCAAAAAAAAAAGTTTGACTGCTTTGAAATTTTCGTTGTCATAGTTCGTCAAAAGTTTTTATATTTTCTTTTGCAATAAATTGTAGTGAAATTTCTTCTTTTTTGATTTACAATTGCACGACTTAGCCAAAGGGTTGTGTTGGAACCGCATACGATCTGTCTTTACAATTATTTTTGGGACTAATTCTGGATTGTATGTCTGTTGTTGCTTGTTAAAATGGTTTACAAGACTTTGACTTTGATTATGCTCTATTTGCAAATGAGGCTTAAAAGCACGTAGAATAGCAATTTGAACTGCTTTAGTTCAGCAGCAAAAATAATGAAATCCTCAAAGCTTAATTTTTTAAATATGTGCTGCTTAGTCTGGTTTCCTTGTGGTATTTAGGATATCTGAAAGTGGGATGCTACTATGCCTTTCCTTGCTATTTTGACCACATTTTAAGTGAATGCTAATTTTGATATTTCTCTATTTTGTGGTTGTCAATTTTTCTTATGCAAATTTTAGAATCAGCGATTAGTGAAAGGAAAAAGGGAAAGCTGACTGTGAAGCAAGATGATACACGGGAAAAGTCATCAACCCCTTCGGATATATTTTCGTCAAGATCAAAGGGAAAGAGCCTCCAAAATGCTACAGATGTTGAGCTCTGCCTACAGAATGTACATACTGCTTCTTTTTTTCTTCTTTTTTCTTTTCTGAACTTTCAAGGCTCCTTTTTCTTTCCCATTGATAATGAGCTTCAGTTTCTTATTTCACATAGTTTCCTTAAATTGTATTTTAGTTTTCAAGCACATTCTATGCCATATAACACGGTGGGGTGGAACTATTAACTGAAATTTTAAGATTCTTCTTGTAGTTGGGTTCATCAACAGCAAAGATACGAAGTGTTAAGAAGGGATGGCAGTTCTCTCCCCTTGTGTTTTATGGTTCTCCTCATGGAGTTCCTCCAAAAAGACCAGCTCGTCTATTGCGCCTCTTGAATGAAATCTGTGTAGATCTTAACGAGCAAAATAAATTAAGGTAATTGCAAATGATTCTTTTACCTCTTTTACCCATTAGTGATGGTAAGTGTTTTGCTAAAAAGTTTTTTATTTTATTTTATAAATTATATTATTCCCTGTGTTTAACTAGACAAGATATATGGGCCACATTTCCAAGGCAAGATGAAGCGATGAAGTATGCCAAAGAGCAATCAAATGCTCGTGTTTTCAGTTATCAGGATCATGTGAATGGTCAAAGGAGATTCCTTGTTTCCACATATAAAGAGTTCTGGAGAAGGTAAGTTTTCAGCTGTATCTGCTTTAAAATATGGCAAAAGATTATACCTCCTCCATGTCCTAAAACTCATTTGTGTTTATAATTTTGATTAGGTACGAAACTATGAATCCTAAATTTCGGCACCACTATGAAGTAATTCAGGAGGTAATCTTTTGTAATTTATCACCACTGTGGAATGGCTTAGTGAAAAGTCATCCCCGAAACTTTTGAGCTTCCCTTGATTTTGTCACATGAGGAATTACAAGCACTTGTATATTCAAATATAACTTGGGACAACAGTATCTTAGATTGTATGTGTGTGTGTATCCGCGCGCGCGCGCGCGTGTGTGTGTGTATTATCTGATCAATAAAGAAAGAACTGCTTCTGTTGTCAACTGTTATGTCCTACTTTCAGGGATTGCCATGCCACCTCTACTGCCACTTCTATTTTTTTTATCTGATCAATAAAAAAAGAATGCTGCTGTTGACTGTTGTCAACTGTTATGTCCTATTTTCAGGGATTGCCATGCCACCTCTACTTTGATCTGGAGTTCAACAAGAGAGAAAATGCAGATAAAAATGGAGATGAAATGGTGGACCTTCTGATACAGGTCATCTTTGATGCAGTCAAGGAAAATTACTGTCTTGAAGGAAATGATGACTGGGTTGTGGAGCTCGATTCCTCCAATGAAGGTAGAATGTTAGTGGACTGTTCTATCTAGTATTTCAGCTGCGTGCAGTATGTTGTCGATATGATATGTAGGTGGTGAACGATCAGCCGATGGACTCGCACTGTTGCAAAGTACTTTTCTGACAATAGCCTAGTGCTTGGTGGGAAACATGTTTTTCCACTCATTTCAGTGGTAATAAGCTAGAATATCTGGCATGAAAGCCTGGTGAAGTTATAAATAATTAATTCAACTCATTTTTATGCATGTGAAATTAGGATCCCACTTGGCAATATGGCAACGAGAACTTTTTTGACTAAGGTGGAACATCAGGATGGGTTGTGATGCACCTATATGTCACTGTAATATTTCTCGTCTTGCTTTCGCCTTACTCTGACTTGCTTTAATACCGGCATCACTATTTGGTGACAGATTAATACCTCTGAAGTGGGTTTAAGATGTTCATATTGAAGAATAACTGTCTTCAGCACACCTTACTTTGTGAAACTTTGGAACTCTTTCCTTGCTTATTTCCCAACTTGATATGATATCCACAGGAAAATGTTCTCTTTTTGTGGATCACATTTTCATTAGATCTCATACTGATTTTCTATATCCCAGGATCTTCTAGTTGATGCACAAACATATTACTAAAACAAATCTGCATTTAAAAGAGGAAGCAGTTTTAGACAAATCTGATTATTTTGTGGATGAAGTTACTTTGGTGGATCAAATGAGGCACACGATGTGGTTAGGAACTGCAGTAAATAGTAGCATATGGGAGAATTATCACAGGATCTGATGCAGAAAACTTCTTTGTTAACATATTAGTAATATGGTACTACGAATTTTCTATGTTATCATAATTGATATTGACGTAGCGCTTTGCTGGCAGAAAAATTTTCTCGTCATTTAATTATTCGATTTCCAAAGGCTGCTTTCAAGGACAACTTGCATGCAGGTGCAT